GGCGTGGCGGCGGCGATCAGCCGCGATGCCTCGCTGCGCTGCGCGGCCCGAACTTCCCCCCACCGTCGAGCGACTACGCCGTAAAAAACTAGTCCATCGTAACGCCATGGCCATGATGGGATGAGGATCCGTGCCGAAATCGATATCGAAAAATCTCCCGGACTTCGTACTGTCCCGTTCGATCAGCAGATTGTCTATACGTATCTTCTTTCGGACGATATTCGGCCACGAGTGTGGCCGCGCAGTGGTACACTGCGCGTCGAGAGGGCGTCCCCGGCTGCCATATTTAGAAGTAGACGTTACCATATTAGGGAAAGTTTGCCAAATATGGTGAACAGAGGTGGTCCTTCCTTTTCGAATGATCGTACGGCGCGCCGCTACGAAACACCAATCCAACTGACAGTAGCGCTTCCTGCACGCCTTTCCGGCCCCCCCTGGTCGATCTGCATTTCTGCTATACGTGACCGCAAATCGCGGCAGCCGATCCGTATAGCTGTATTACGGAATGTAAACTTTACATCCGAGTTTATTGTACCGCCGACGACGCTACCGTCCTTGTGCGAACTTTCGGCATGGTATTATCAAAATGGGTGGAGGGGCGAAGAGGATGGAACGTGCGTGCCTTTAGGCAACGTCTCGTTCACGGAACTCTAAACGAGATGTTGACGATATGTTACGCTGTCATAGAAACTTTATTTGCGATCGACAAACATTCGTTATGTTTCGCAATTGACTTACCAATACAGTTTCATTTTAATCTCGAGATTTAACTAACTCATCATGTTTCAATTCTAAAAATTAGAAAAGAATGAAGAGTAAATTATTGAATCGAGATTAAAGTTAATTTACATTGGTAGGACATTGCCAATGTAGTTTAATTTTAATGTCAGTTCAATTAAACAGTTCAAACTCTTTATCTTTTTTTAGTTCCAAAAATTAGAACAGGATGAAAAGTAAATTGAACCGAGATTGAAGTTATATTGAAATGGGAATGATCAAAAAATTGTCTCACATCGATTTATATCATGCATAAAATTTTTAAGTCATTAAATATCATACAACTTATATTTAAATTTTGAGATCGTAATTGATGATTTTCCTATAAAAGTATACCAATGAAATATTACTACAATATTTAAAGTAGCTTAATGAAAACTTGAAAGTCATTAATTTTATTCATTTCGTCAAATATATATGTTTCAAACTTATTCATTCAGCTTTAAGATATCCTATGTACATAGAAAATTAAGAAATTTCTTCTTACAAAAATGTCGCATTACTTGATTTATATGTACAAAACATTTATTTTTAACAAAATTGATGCAGAACTAAACAAAACGCCAAGGAATATTTCTCTGGTATATAATTATCAAAGCCTGAAAAAAACTGAATAATTAAATAATATGATATTTCGTGTGCTGCTCTGTATATTAATCACACTGTATATTAATAACAATGTGTTATATACTTCAGTTTGCATATAATTTATTAAATAACATCTTCATAATCAATATTTTCTAAAAAAAACTTATTACTAGATTGCGGAATACGATTGTTTTAATACTTCATATAATGTCTTATTTTACTGAGCACTTGAAAACATTTTTCTAGAATTAACAAAAATTAAGGTTGTTCACCAGATGATATCGCACGAGCATGAGACATAAGAGTGTCATGTATCTCACGAGCATATGCCACTTGCGCGCGCACTGTCATTAGAAACTGTGGATAAGATAACGCTGGTCCCTCCTGCGTGCTTACCGTGTCGGTGCGAGTTGTTATAACGGACATTGGTAGGTATCGAACCGAACTGGAATGCTGGGACAGACATTCCACGGAGGTCTTCAGATGCAACTCTATCTGGTCACAAATGGAATAGAATTCTTCCATATTCTTGTTAAATCGATGATCTGGCTGCTCTATACCCTTCATGGTTCCTACATCAACTAAGCTATTTTGATGCAATGTCTGCGCCGCAGTTTTAAGAGCTATAGCTAATGATTCCCTCAAAGGTCCAACCAGAGATTTTACTTTAGAAATATTATCGAGTTTGTCCTGTGTTTGTTGTTGCTGCTGCTGCTGCTGCTGCTGTTGTTGCTGTTGTTGCTGTTGTTGCTGAACTTGTTGCTGTTGCGTTTGTTGCGCCTGTTGTTGATTCTGGGGCAACTGAGGATTTACCGGCTGTCCCATTTGTCCTACACCCATAGCACCTGGCTGTTGAATCGGTGGGATGTTCATCTTGATCCTATAATTTTTAATTTGCCATGTTCAATATATCTAATATGCAATGAATAAAATCTAATAAGAACAAAGTTTTTCTGGAAGTTTTTCTTGAAAGCAATATATATCAAGAGTTAACCAATAACATTAAACTTCAATTGGGTTGTATTTAGAAACATCATCCCTTTGTCTTGTATCTCATTTTATTCTTTTTTTTTTTAATCTTAAAGCTGGAGTATGTAATATTATAAATTAAATTTAGCGTTAATCGAATAATGATATATCTCAAAGAATTTATTACGAAAAATATTATTCCAGTCACAGGGAATTCAAACCCTTCTCGAGGAGAACATCTTTTTTGCAATTCAACTACTTTATCAATTTAAAAGTATGCCTTTTCCCATCTCTTACCGATTTTTAAAAATTCGTTAGCAAAATCTTGACGTTAGTTAATCCGAACGTATATTTCTTTTTTAGTCGATCCCTGCAATTGAAAAGTTCTAAAAATGTTTTCTTATATCTTAGGATACTTTAGCACAAAGTCTCTTGTTATCATTCTTCTAATGTCCTGTTTCATACTATTTTTACAAAATAGCGAGTGTATGTACACAAAGTTTTGTAGGTTAGGTAGATTTTAATCATCGGAACAGTGAAGAGTGCAAAGTGCAAGCCAGTACAAACCTCGCGACATTCACGCACGCGCCATAATGAATTACTGTGAATCGTACCTTAACGTCGGGCGACGCCTCATTGGCGACTTCATCGACGAATCAGCTTGCACGGCAATGAGGACCGAGTCGAATCACGCATGGCGTCCGGGGGGAACCGACGCCATCTAACGACTGGCATTCCTGCTCGCTCCCGCTGGTAAAACCAGGACCATCGTCGAAGAAGCGCGTAACTTCCTCGTCGCTCTCGTCGGTCCTGTTGTTTGGCGGATTGTGCGTGTTTAACCGTGCTTCTACAGTGACTACTCCTACCTAAAGTCGACTAGGTCGTCGCGTTAAGTCCGTTATGGCGCGTGTACGCCGTATGAAATGATAGGCGTGGGACGGGGCTCACTGCGTGCCGGCCAAACGTTTGGGCGAACGAGCTAACCCGTGTGTGTGCGTGTTGGCAACGCAACGAGCGACGGCGGTCAATCATCCAGACACGGAGGACCCACCACTGTGCGCTGTGGCGGATTCCTGTTACACGGCCATCCCCCCTCTACCCCGCTCTCCTGCAGGATCGCAGGTAACGTATAGTAACGTAGCGAGCGAGCGAGCGAGCGCGAGCGCGCCATCCTGAACCGCCGCGCCGCGTCGCGCGCGTTGCGTTCGTCCCGCCAGCTGCGTCCCCGCGGCGAAAATTCGCCCGTGTTTATGTTTACTCCTTTAATTACCCCCTCCCCCGCCACCCTACCCCTCGTGTCTGTCTAGCCTCTGCACTCATCTCCTTTCCCACTTTTCACGATTTTCTCGTCGCTTTTCGCCACGCGCCCGCTTCTTCATCTCCGCGTTTCTCTCTCGCTCTCCCTCTCTCTCGCTTTCGTTCTCGCTCTTGCGCTCTCCCTCCCCTTCTCCTCTCTGACTCTCTTCTTCCCTCCCTCTTCTCTCTCTCTCTCTCTCTCTCTCTCTCTTTCTCACACACACACAGACGTTTTTCCTCCCTGTCTCGCGTTCTTCGCCTATTAGCGGAAACAAACGTTTCCATTTTTTTTTTTATCGCCGGATTACGTTCGCGGCAACGCGCTCAGGTACTCGGTTCGCTGTGTAGGAATATATACAGAAAAGTGCTCGTAATGTACTCGCGATGATAATTGTGTTATATAAACTTTGTATTATCATGTGACTTTTTTCTTCTTGTTTCTTAATTACTCCGATATGTTCGGGAATAGCAATAGATACGAGGATTGCATTTTCAGTTTAATTAGCGGAGTAATTGTCAAGTACAAACAGTAATTGTACACATCATTTCGTTATGCACAACTTTATATTTGAATGAATTATAGCAAAAAGTTAGTTCTCGACTGTATACAATTAACACACGGTACGGTTATCGAGATATAATCCAATGTAAATAAATTAATTGCAAAGAATTATTTTATCTCCTGCTTGTTGTTGCTTTATCGGTTTCATATTCGTAGATAAAAAATTATTCCTGTAATTGAAAAAGAGTGTTTGTCTTAAACCTGTCCATGATGCTAAAAATCAATTTGGGATCTCAGAAAAAGAATTAACAGAGAAAGAATTAATTAAGTCACATATTTGAACAATTTGATTACATTACTAATGTGAGTGACTTTCTGAGATCTCAGTCTGATTTCTAGCGTTTTGGACACAAGGCTTTAACATTAATGGCATCTAGGTACATAGCTGTATTCTACCAGCCACTCCATGCTCCCTATAAATGCTATGGCACAGAAAGTGGTACCAGGATCAGAGTCAGGATCGATGAAACCTCTGACTGGCAGCGGACTAAGTTATGTCACGCTGCAACCACCCAGTCAACCACTTAGTTTGGTGCAAGACCATAGACCCTCGGTGTATCAGACTCCACCATATATAGGAAGTAATATGGAAAAGGAACCAGAAGCAGAGAAATTGATTCCAAACGGTGTGGAGGTTACGAAAACTGAAACCGAGCAAGACGTGCCTGCTGTTGTAAAACAAAATGAATCCAACAGAAACAACAACCTGAGTCCAGAGACTCCTGCTCAAGAACAACCATGTGAAATGCAATCGGAACAAGTGCTAACTTCTTTAATAGAGTTTCCAATAAATACTCGTAAGTAACATTATTCTTCTTAATTCTCTACATGTAAATTAACATTTTCTTGAGAAAGATATTTAATAATAGAATGTATCTAGTAACATAAAAAATAAATACTTTATATTCTGTTATTAAAATTGTATTATTTATCTTATTATAATTATATTATAATTATATGTGATAATGTATCTTTAAAAGTTTAGTGTGAAGTAAAATTTAAAATAAAATGAATTAGATGAAACACATAGAATAACATTACGCGAATTTAAGATGCAAAAACAAAATATTAATATAAATCTATGTTACAAAATAAAAAAAAATAAATGCAAATGTTTATATTTATATGCAATTATATTTATTTTTATAGCAATATGCACACCAGCACAAAACAAAGTTGAGGAAAAGAAGGTCCCTGTAAATAATGGATCAAAGGAATCGGATGGTAAAGCCGTTAATACTTCTGTACATATAAAACAATCTCCACATAAGCCAGAAGATACACAAACTAAGAACGATGTTCCAAAGGCAAAACCTATAAATCAGAGTTTGAAAGTATCGAGCGATAATGCAGCTGCGACATTAACTAGTACATATAAACCTGACGCGAAAGTCACTACCTCTCCGAAGACAACCAAACGAAAATCTAGAGAACTAAAAGATTTGAAGGTAGCTACTGTAGTCACCGATGGAGCAAGTAAACCTAAGAGAAACCGAATTCAAACACAACCCTATCAAAGTCCATTACCGGAGATTGCTTTACTGGTCAAAAATCTCAATAAGACTCCTGGTTCTAAAGCACCTGACGACAAACTCATCGTGTTCTATAAGTAAGCATCCCATTTTACAAAAATATTTAAATATTTAACTTAATATCTTTATATATTTATGAACAAGAATTAATTATTAAATATTTATTATTAGAAACGAATTTTTGGCTGTGAGGAATGCAGAAGGAAGTTTTTATGTTTGTCAAGCGATGCAAAATATCTACAAATCAAGCAGACGCATTCGCATACGTTGGTTATCTCAAGATAAAACCAATGGCGAATTCTATTCACCTGATTTCTATGATACCATAGGTATTGTCACACATTTTTTTATTTATAACATTATTATATACTTATCACTATTATATTAGGATATATATTGTATTTATCTTTTTTAATTTTATTTCTTTTAATTTTCAGATTTTGATTGTATATTAACAAATCTAAACCTAAACAAAGTCGACAAACATAAATTCTGGTTAACCAGAATAGAGCTGTTACGTACAGAAAATATCTTAAAACGGGCTATTGATGTTGAGGCTGGAGTGTCTGAGAAACCTCGAGTTACAGAAGAACATCCTGATGGATGTAAGTAATAATAATAATATTATAAAATGATAATAAATTTTATAATCTATTGTCACAAATGTTATGTCTATTGTCTTATATACAGTTTTACATATCAAATGAGTAATTGCAACGTTTATTTCCGCAGTGGATCTGTCACTTTATAAAGATGAGTCACAGCTGAAGAGAAGAAAAAGCTTGCATAACGAAAAGCCAAATCGTAAAAAGTCTAAGCGAATTGCGAATTCTACGGATGATGACATAGATGACGAAGAATCTGATCGAAATCGGAAAACGTCCAAAGCGAGTCGTGCGAAGAAACGATCGGTCAAAGCATTGGCAATCGCTAAATCTGTCGCGAAAGGCAGCAGTAGAGCAGAGAGAGCACTAAACAGAAGCACAAAGTCCGGCAGTAGTTTAGACAATGATCATGTTTCTACTACTGCTACTACTACTACTACTGCTGCAGTTGCCATGACTAATGCAACTACAGCTGCTACAGCAGTTGTTGCTAGTGCTCCTATAACTGCTGCTACTACTACAACTACTGTCAATCCTGCTACCAATTCCGCCGTGACGGATACCAAAAATAATGTAGAAATGAAGAAGTTGGATTTAAAGAAGAACGGCAAGCAGCAAAGTAATAATGGTACCAGAGGGTTTCCGAGAACAAAACCTGGAGGTATGAAATGTTTTATATGTTGCACATTAAAACGAATTCTTTCTGTTATTTTTTTTCAAATATATTTTATGAAGAAATCGAATTTTTTGCAAAAAATTTTATTATTCAATAGAATTTTATAAAACAATTTAAAATAATTTAAACTTGATATAAAGAAAAATATATAAAATATATTGACTGAAAATTCACTGAATATCAATTGACTGAAAATTTAAATTATATTTCTTAATATTTATAAAATAGAATTATATTTCTTAATTAAATTAAATTAAATTTGAAGGTTCTGCTCAAGCCACACAGCAATCCAGTAAAATAGCAGGACGTCCGAAGCGTGTGGCCGCTACCACCGGTGTTGTTTCGTCCGAGGAAACACCTTCTTCAAGGAAGAAACCACGCGGTCGGGCATAAAATTAACTTAACGTTGCTTTTTTTAATACTACAGTTACAGCCGAGTCTGTATCGTAGGCAATATGTACGTGTGGTACACCACTTAAAATTGCAATCAATTTGTTATGTAATATATACTTATGTATATGGATCTCAAGATTCTTAAATGTATCATGTGTGCTGCGATAATATTATAGTCCAATGATACGGGATCAACGACTTGTATCTCTGATTCGTCAAGTCGCATTTGAAAAAAAAGAAAAGTAAAAAATAATAAGAAAAAAAAGATTCAGAGATTTATGCGAGCGATATTGTGATATCATACAAAATTTGTACATATCGTCTACGTCTCAGACTCCTTTAGGGGAAGAAAGTCACGGAATGTGTGGGAATGGTACCTTGAGTTGAGTAATAACTAATCTACAGGGTGTCACATACTAATGCACTCTTGCAATAGTCTATTTTTGATGTTGTGAGTGAACCGTACGTGATTCAGTTAATTTTAATGTACACTTTCCATTGGATATGGTATATACTATGTACAAAATACACATGTATCTGGAAGAGGTAGGAGTTATATGTATTCTATAAAACAGAGAGAGAGAGAGAGAGAGAGAGAGA